GCACACACACACACACACACGCACACACACACACACACACAGTAACCCCCACCCAGCCTGACAATAAGCTCTGCTCCATCCCCCACCCTGCAGCTCTGAAGGAAACAGTCATGCATTAAGGGGGGGTCAGCCCACTCCTACCTTTACTTTCAGGCGTGTTTAGATGCAAACAAACAAACAAACAAACAAACAAACAAACAAACAAACAACCAAACACAACAGGATGAAAGAGTTGAAACAACAACACACAGTTTGATAAAGCAGCAGGAGAAATCAAACTTTAGTAAAACCAGTTAAAGTTACTGGTAAAAAGCAGAACCTTCCTCTGCACACAGAAAAGTCCAGAAGCTTCAAACATCCGGACCTGATGAACAAACTGCTCAAAAGGTCTCCGAGCACCTGGGTCCCGGTCCCGGTCCCGGTCCCGGTCCCGGTCCGTCCTCAGATCTACGGCTTTACGCAGTCCTGGTCCCAGGACCGAGGCTCGGTTCGGCCCGGTCCAAGGACAGCAACAGGTCAGAGTGAAAGCAGGCAGGCGGAACCGGGCCGGGACCCGGTCAGAACTCACCGCTGGGTTCGGAGCCGGGCTCGTCAGAGTTGATGTGCTGCGGCTTGGCTTGTTTGCGCCTCGACATGGTGCAGCCCCGGAGCAGAACCGGACCTCCTCCGTGCTGCTGACCGAGCTGAGTGCAGCACGAGCCCGGAGCTGGGACTGCGCATGTCCCCGGATTATTATCATCAATAACGCGCTGCGATTTATCACGAGCCCCCGACGCCTGATTGGCTGCCGGCCAGGCGCTCGAGTATTATTCAAATGAGCTGCCTATTGATGAGCCGCCTATTGATGAGCCGCCCGGGGGGCGGGGCTTGGCGGGGCGGGGCGGGGGAGGCGGGGCCAGCCAGCCCCGGATCCACTGGGTCCTCCTTCATACTGTAAGCAGACTGGACCTGGTCTGACCCGGACTGGTCTCAACTAAAACCCATGACTGTAGACAGGTTTACATTTATYTTTATGGTGTTCAGTCTGTTTGATTTGTTTCTACTCCTTATTTAAAATTAACTTTAACTAMGATAAGATTATGATTTTATACAGGCTGAAGTTTGTAAAGTTAAAATTACCACCAATATTTATGTTTTATTTAACCTTTTATAAGAAAAAAGAACAGATTTATTGTTCAAAGTCAGTTTTTCACCATATGATTCATACATTTATAA